CTTTCAACCGCCAGGTGGAGATGATGACTGGCACACCCACCTACGGAACTTTCACCTTCTTTCCCACCGAAATGTTGACACTAGCATTGTCTCCTACAAAGAAGCACAACTGATTGAGGAGAAGATCGTACTCATCGAGTACGTCATCAAAAACGTCGATGATGGCGTCCGAGCCAAAGTTTCTGGTTTTGAGTGGTTTAAACGAAAGTAGATTAACCTCACGCTTGGTGGGGTCAGATGGATCTTCGGAGGGGACGACGGCGAACGTATGACAAAGTGATACCCATTTTTGGACCAACCATCGAAGACAAGACCTAGCCACTGTCCGGCCAGATTCGCCTTGATCTCGGAGCGAACGACATCAACCAGTGCGCGAATGTGTCCCTTCCGTGACTTAGCGTTTATCTTCGGTAGTGTCGTGTTCTTTCTCACCAACTCACACTCCCAAAAACTCAAAGGTCGGTTTTCCATGACTGTCCACTCGATCCATTCATGGATATCTTTAGCGAGCGACGAGACGTTCACCACAGGGATGGATGTACCATGTCTCAGGATGTGCTTGTACGCCGAGTCGATAGTAGCGTCGGAGCCCGCACGCTGCAGATGGTCGATTAAGTTTGTGTAGCCTTCCCGCTCACTTGGACGCGCTGTTTGGCGCAGATGCGGCATCGCCATCGGTCCTCACTTGTTGGCGAGAAGTTCGTCGACACCAACTGCCTGTTGTGACGAGCTCACTTCTTCTTCTGCCTCAGACTAAGCACAAGTTTAGAGAATAGGAAGTTAAGAGTTAAGATAAATAAACTCTATTGAGAGCTACTCTACAGAGTGCAATTCATCAACGCTGAAAGGCGTGAAAAAGAAGAGTTCTTGCATCATGAACGACCTCAACCTGCTGTGGTCTTGCATCATGAACGACCTCAACCCGCAGTGGTCGCCCCCTGAGAAGTTCGAGTTTGAAGTGGACGAATGGGAGAACCAGTTCCTAATCACCCAAGTGTATGACTACAACCGGCTCAGCAAAGATGACCTTATCGGTTGCGGCGGTTATTCCACTCGCGCTACATCGAACGCAATACTCTTATTGTATGTGTGCGGATTAAGACGGTGTCCCACCTGCAGCTTATGTGCTGCAAGGCTGACGATGTCGATAGAAGGCATTGTCTGCAGTGCTGCGAAATAATAATTTCATGTGTTTATTGATTTTAATGGCAGCGGTCCATTTCCCTGAAGGATGGTTTCCATTCATCGAAGAAAATGGGACTGCCAAAATATCTTGTTTTCACTATGATTGTGGTCCACATCAGCAATAGTAAACCATGGCGCACTCGTGCACTCACCACCTTCATGATGTGCGGAGCACTCGACCGAACAAGCTTGATAGAAACAACTACGAGGTCTCTACGGGCTGCTGTCCGGCCTCGTAGAGCTTCAACCACGCAGCGAAGGTCACTACCGAATCAGACCTGGATGCTTCGTACTCACGCAGTTTCAGTTAGAAGACACAGCGGAAACACAAGTGTCATCTTGAATTTTGACAAGCATCGCCCAGCCACCAGCCCAACCTGACTGCCGTCCAAATCTACCAGCGACACCAACATGGATACGGACGTGTGTGACATTGACAAATTGGCGGCTTCGCTTTGAGCGATGAGTTCTACCTCAGCAGAAGAGAGAGAAACTTCACCTTGTTTGCTACAACACCACGACACAGTGGTTCCAGCAATTTTGATCACATAGCCGGTAACTGATTTACCGTACGTCGACGTCCCTTTCAAGTATTTGAGGACTCGCCTAGCCGCTTCCCAGTGCGTGCGGTTGTAGCACGATAGGAACTTGCTTAGTTCTCTCACCGCGTTGGCAATGTCAGGTCGTGTTCCACGAACCAGGTATTGGAGTGATCCAACGATGCCTCTGTAGTCAAAAGGCTGCGCTGCTATTTGTCAGCGCTCATTTTCGTTTCAGCTTCTAGCGTCACGAGACATAGAGCTCATTAACCGACGTAAAGCCGAACTGTCAAACGGTTCAAAATGAAACCACGACAATAAGCCATTCATCTCCCACTTTGTGCGCGTAGATACAAAACTCTTTGTGGCAGCGAGCAAAATTTATCGATACCAAGAAGGTATGAAGAACTCTACACCAGATCCGAGGGGCCTGCTTCAACCCATATATGCTTTTTAGAAGTTCACAGACCAGATGCTTTTGGCCTCGCTTCGCAAACCCTTGAGGTTGTCTCATGTAGATTTTCTGTTCCCCCTCCATGGTACTGTTTAATAACGCAGTATGGACATCCATTTGATGGATGTGGCAGTCCAGTATCGTTCCAATGGCTAACATCAAGCGAAGGGACTCAAGCCGTGCTACCGGTGCATATACTTCGACGCAGACAACTCCAAATTCTTGGTAGTTACCTTGCGCAACGAGGCGAGCTTTAAATCGCTCAACTGTACCGTCTGAGTTATATTTCACTACTAGCACCCAATGGCATGGTAGAGCCTTTCGGCCAGGTGGTAGTGCTACTAATCACCAAGTTCCATTCTCAATGAGAAAGTCGTACTCTAACTCTAGGGCCTGTTTCCACTGTTCCTTATGGTGTCCACGCAGAGCTTCTCTGATAGTTCGTGGTATGGAGACTTTGTACTTTATACAAAGATATTCTTCCGTGTTAGCTTTGTCCAGGATTGCCCGGAAACACTGATAGTCCTGATACCGTTTTGGTCTTTTGGACTCTCGACGGGGTCTCTCTATGGGTTTTGGTGCTTCCAGTAACCCTGCGCTCCGTTTTGTTTTGGACGCTCCCACTGCTATAGTAGGATCCATTGGAGGCACAGTAGGTGCAACTGCTTCAGCAGTCTCCTGCCCAGATGCAGTCTGCTGATCTCCCACTGCTCCGCGTATCCTATCGCGGAGCAAATTGTGTTGTGACCTCCGGGTTGGACTGGTCAAAGGCCCGATTAACAATGTGTGCTACACTGGTTGTGTCAAACAGCACATCTCGAGCGACAATGTGTTTGTTGTTATAGACATCCCATAGTCGGTAGTCCTTGGCTTCTTCTGAGACACCCAAAAACCGGTACTTTAGAGCTCTAGCAGATAATTTCTTGTCCTTGCGAAGTGCAGCTGGTATGTGTGCAAAACCGATACTACCCCACACAGGTAAGCCACTAATGTTGGGTGACTCCCCGTGCACCATTTTCGTATGG